CAAAAAGCTTCTAACAAAATCGGAATCTTATTTTTTGACGCGTATACCGCCCTCCAGTGGCACAGCGGTATGTTTGCGGACTTACAACGCTAGAATCCTGGTTTCGATACCCGTGGTGGGCAGAGCTCATATAGCCCATTGTGTAGCTTTGTGCTTAATTACAAACAAACAAACAGACGCATATACCACGCACGCCATCTATAGGAGAAATGCATGAAAACTGGCATCTTATTTGTTCAGTATTGCAGCGTTTCCAACATTTTTGTCATTCACGCCCCCCCCCCTCAATTGAATATGGTTTCTTGCGTGCGCGCCCCTCCTTTTTTTAAATGAGTGAAATAGTGAGATAAGTGACTAGATATAATATACGGATGCATATTAAGATGCTATATCTGTTGTAATAGTTATTTGCTATTTTTATCAATGATAAGTATATTTCAACTTAATTTCCACTATTGAATCTAACTTAATCGCTCGCGCCTCCCCTGGAGGGACATGCCCCACATATTGGGGAAACGCTGCACTATAGTATACTACGCACGCCAGCTATAGGAGAAATACATAAACACCAACGCGTTATTCGCTATAGCATATCACGCGTGCCATCTCGACAAAATGAATCAAAATACCGAGTAACTAAATTACTTTCAGTTTGTTGGGCCAGCGTAGCCTTGTATCCATGGTTCGCGTCCCGTTGCCGCAAATCACTTTGGGGCTGTGCGTGTACCTTAAGAGCGTCAGTCATAGCCCAGTTTTCGTTCATAAAAGACTAGGACAATTAGCCCTTGATACTTTAGAGCGAAGATCCAGTGTGAGCAGATGTGGCTTATCACAATTCCTAAAGAAGTACCAGATGACTAAACAAATATTATACACCGGATATAATTAATGATATTCTCAACCAGGAAGATACGAAGAAAGTGTATCCAAATGTACATTCTATGCAAAGGTATATCTTGTCTGTCATATTCGGTGCCGACGAGGCCTTTCACTCAATACCAGATCTCTTCATAGTAATGGTCTAGACGCCATTTAACCATCGGTAGCATAAAGAGCAGCTGTTGTGAACCAGATTAAGTAGATGAAGTGTAATTACTATTAATTTATATTTAAGTAATTTAAAAATCAGAATTAAGGTAAGGATTAATAACTAAAAATGTCAAAAGTTTTATCGTTACGGAAACAACACCAAGAAACACCCACATAACGTGTAAATTAAAATGTAGAATTAACTGACTTGAGCTTCTGTTTACGTTGTTAACATACCGGTAACAATCAAAGCTCGACTTGATGTTTATTATTAATACAAATAAAATGGGATACGCTGTGAAGTTGAGTATCAATTATATAATATAATTGTGGAAAATAATTGTTAGAAAATTGGTCGAGGATCACAATATTTGTATAACAATGGAGGTTTGTTTGGTTGTAGTATAAGCACAAAGCTACACAATGGGCTATCTGTGCTCTGTCCATCACGGGTATCGAAACCCGGTTTCTAGCACTGTAAGTCCGCAGACATGCCGCTGTGCCACTGGGGGGGGGGGGTGGCATAACAGCAGAAACAACACGTCAGACATTACTTAAAACAATATAGTTTAACTGTAGAAACTAGACTTCCTGAAACATCACTCAAAACTATACAAGTAGAAACTAAGCGTTTTGTAATTCTTCGGACATTACTTAATATAGTGTAGTTTAATTATAGTGATGAGGTGCTCTGAAACCGGTCAGGACACCACTAGGACCGGAAAACCATAGAAACCAGTTGGTACATAACTTACCAGTTGTAAAGAGGACGATTGCCTTCAGGCAGCTATACTCAGCAGCATCAACATGAAGAGCCTTTAACTTTTCCACTTGTTCCTGGAAGATGCGGATGTGGTCCATGAACGCTACCACGTGGTCCGCTGCCATAGGTGAAGCATGTAGTCCAGCGGCAGCTAGCAGGGGCGCCACGTGTAAGGGCATGGAGCACTGGGACGCGTTCAACACAAAGAGTTCACTCCAAACGAGTCGGAGCAAAGCTACTTGATCTGTTATTTGGAGATCGGGAAAGAATGGGATATTTCTTGCCCACTCTACGGCACTGAACAACAAGCGGGCCGCTAGTTCACAGATATTATCAATCCCCATGATGTTGTTGGACTGCATGCACTGACCATAGCGAGAGGGTTCGTATGGCTCTGCTCTCAGGAGGAGAGAGATAAAACTGGACAGGTAAGAATGACCGTTCATAGAGTCTCCATTGGTCAGAGCCATCTGTCCTGGAAGGGCATGTTGTGCTGATGGTAACCGTCCACGCTGTACGGCTGGAAAAGTGTTAAACTCAATAAGTTGGCAGTATCTTTACTGAAACACAGCATAAAAAATGAGTCAAAGTTAAGAGTAGAAAGAAACGTTATTAAAAGAAAATAAAACATCCATTTTCAGAAGAGCCACAATAAAAACTATTCAATATCGTTATGCTCAACTTTCAGTAACAGCGCATATTCTAAATGTTGTTAAATACACAACTTTCAGCAACACCGCGACAACATGTGTTGAACATTATTAAACACACAACTTTCAGTAACATCACAACAACATGTGTTGAACATTGTTAAACACACAACTTTTAGCAACATCACAACAACATGTGCTGAACATTGTTAAACACACAACTTTCAGTAAAATCACAACAACATGTGTTGAACATTGTTAAACACACAACTTTCAGCAACACCACGACAACATGTGTTGAACATTATTAAACACACAACTTTCAGTAAAATCACAACAACATGTGTTGAACATTATTAAACACACAACTTTCAGTAAAATCACAACAACATGTGTTGAACATTGTTAAACACACAACTTTCAGCAACACCACGACAACATGTGTTGAACATTATTAGACACAACTTTCAGCAACATCACAACAACATGTGCTGAACATTGTTAAACACACAACTTTTAACAACACCACGACAACATGTGTTGAACATTGTTAAACACACAACTTTCCACAGCAACACGTCAACTAAATGACGTAGAACTTTTAAAATACGACAATGAACAATTTGTGTTTCGATTATGTAACTAACATTTTACTTGTTATTTCCTGAAAATACGATACTTTTCATTTTTTTCATAGGCATGTTTTCTTCACCAATACTTACTTGTATTACGTGTTATTACATTAACTGGTTACCCTTATCTCACGTGGTCATAGCACAAAGTTTTGTGAATGGAAATGACAATAAACAATTATACAAATATTCTAAGCACTAAAATCAGAACAAATATCTGTGTATTCATTTGATTTATAACTGAGGGCTGTACAAGAAATTAGTAATATATCATAATTATTCTTATATATTTGGGGTCTCACAGGTAAGTCAGAATTTATCATTTTTATTAAAATATAGCATTACACAAGTAAGCTAGGATATGTTATATGTATCTTACTATGATTAAGCATTATACACGTAAGTTACAATATGTAACGTTTATTTTATTATAAATTAGGGTTATGCATGTAAGTTACAACATGTAACGTTTATTTTATTATAAATTAGGGTTATTCATGTAAGCTAGAATATTTAACGTTTATTTTATTATAAATTAGGGTTATTCATGTAAGCTAGAATATGTAACGTTTATTTTAATATAAATTAGGGTTATGCATGTAAGCTACAATATTTAACGTTTATTTTATTATAAATTAGGGTTGCTTCATGTAAGCTACAATATGTAACGTTTATTTTAATATAAATTAGGGTTATGCATGTAAGCTACAATATGTAACGTTTATTTTAATATAAATTAGGGTTATGCATGTAAGCT